ATATTTTCCCTTTTAAACAAAATCAAGAATATTTTCATCAGATGTAAAAAGAAAAACTTCTAGAGGCCAGGAAGGTATTATATGCTAGTGCCTCATAAAATAAAATAAAATTATAAACACTGGGGCAATTTTTTTACTTTATTTAATTCAACTAATAATAATTTTACATTGTGCAATTATTTTACTCCAACTTTAAATGTTGAAATACTTATATTTGGGACAAAAATAAATTCATATAGCTTGTGATTAAATTGATTGTTTGAAAATACTTTATAAAAGTAGGTTTAAAAGAATAGACTGAAAAATTTAGAATTAAAAATGAATAAGTGAATAACAGATAAATAAAGCAAAGCGATGATCTAAAATAGTTTATTTATAATATAGCTACAACTACAGGTCTTATTTGTTTTCTGTTGATTTATCTTTCCATAAATGGCTGTACCGGTTTATATCAAAGTCATCTTCAAATTGTTCCTCTATAACTACTTTCTTTATTCCCTTTCTTCTATTTAAATGTATATGCAATTCTTCAGCTGTTAACTTACTTGTATCCATTGGCAACTACAATAAATAACGTTACATTATGTAAAATATTAAAACACACCTTTGCATCTCCATGCTAAATTGCAGTGATATTGTCACTTTATAAATAGAATTATTCTACTCATATATTATGTTATCTTTACAAAATAAAAATTAATAATGAAAACACCTATCACAATGCTTAGGAATAAAATATCTAACTAAGTACCCATAAAAATACACATATTTGAAAATTGAATAAAGCATCGAAATGCTATTTCAAGATACAAATTTAAAAATGCTTACTTTTTTTTCCAGGTTGGTCCCAGTTATTACTTTTTCTGTATTAAACCAATTGTCTTAAAAGACTTTACTACATTTTTAAATATAGGTTTGCTTTCCAATTGCGCGTTTTTCAAATTATCCAAAGAGTAGATTTGGCAGAGTTTGAAATGCACAATCTTAGTTTTCTGTTCATGCACTTTCTAACAAAGGTCCACAGAAAGCCACTTTCTCTATGTATATATATATTGTAAAAATATGTGTTATTGCCATAGGCAAACATTACTTTCTTCTTAAAATGTAAAATGAATTTAGAGTTTACTTTAAATGAAAAAAAAATTATTCAAATTTTTAGTGTTTAAATATATAATTACTTTTTATTTTATGAAAAAAATCGAGAATTTAATCTCTGTTTAGTACACAATGCTAATGCGTGGCAATAACTCTTATAACAGTGAATTGAAAAATATGTACACAGCATTAATCAAATAAATAGTAAACACTTGAACCAAATCTTTTTATAACTGGGGCAGTTCTCAGAGACGGTGGAACACATTCAGAATCCCTTCGAGTTTTAAACATTCGGTTGACTGAAAAGACTTTCTGAACAATCTAGTTTATAGTTTTTAAATAACATAACTCTTTATCCTGTAAAAAATTTCGTTTTTAAATATTTAAAATAATTTTGAAAGAAAAAATAAACTATATATTTGCAAATTTCATAATTTTCAAACATTTCGGCTCCATTTTTACTGTACTTTACAAATTAAGCAACCCAAATTGAATTCATCAGATTCTTGTTTTCTCAATGCATGTTTCACTCCAATATTCATTTCAATGAAAAAGTTACAATAAAAAAATACAGTCTGTGCTTTGCCATATAATATTTTCCATTACTAATAAAAGTTTGTTATTAAAACACTTTATTTAACACTAAATCATTTAATATGAGAAGATATTAAAGTCACAATTAATTAATTGAAATTAAAATAGAACAAATTGTTTCAACTCTACCACACTGCAATAGTTTTAACAATTTGAATCACAATCCACTGATACCATGTCACAGAACTGACCAATCTAGTTTTCTAAAGTATCAATTAAATTAATTAGTTTTGTTAAAGTATTGATGCTTATGAAAAACTTTTAGGGTTAAAATCAACTATATTTTAAGGTATACACCACTGTTAAAAGAAACTTGTTTTTCTCTATAAATTTTATAATCATATAATAAATAATAAAAACTAATATTCATTTTAACATTATTCTGCTTGTTTTGAATTTCGTTTAAAAAGTGTAAATGCTATTTGAATTATAACATATAGAAGAAATTTATTGACACCTTAGGTGTCAATGATCATGGTCAATAAATATAATAAAGCTGGAGTACGATCCCTTATTGTGACCCTTCCGTTTTAATGACCGATACATGAAGTACTGTTTGCTTTTCCATAAACGCAACACTATCTTAACATCCATTAGAATTTAGCGACCAAAATTTTATTACATTTTTTCAATCAAGTTATAGCAACCTTACGTTATAACCTTCACATTTCTTTGGACAACAGAGGTCTTTAAATCGAGCTCGACTCTAAGCAAAAATTTTATATCATATATATTATTTATGTTCTTTTAGTTACACAAAGGATATTTTGTTAATTTTCTGCAGAAAAAGTATATAGAATACATATGTTAATCAGAAATTAAATATTGTTTTTAGTCTTCAACTTTTGATGAATCTAGTTCAAAATTATGTGCATGAAAACCACAAATATAAAAAATTCTGCTTTAAAAAAACTCAATTTTAAGTAAATGAAAGTGTACTTTTATTACATAAGCATCAATATAAAATATCAGTATGAACATACTAGCTAACAGCTGAAAACTTTGTGTATACACAAAAAAGAAAAAACTCAGAAATCATCTTAACTTTTATTGTAAGAGAAATATGAATGAAAAAAAATACTAGTAAAATCTTAAAAATTATGAACAATTATAAATGGACTCACTTTAATAATTTTTCTGGGCTCATGGTATCTAATTGTATAAGTTGAGCCATCAGAATTCACGACCATAGTTGGATACACGCGGACATATTTTTCGCGGCCTATTTTCGCTATGCAAGTACGATTTGATCCATTTCTCACTTGCTCCCAGATGAAACAAACACTCCTAAGAAGAAAAAAAATATCAAATTTATCATACTTAAAAAAGTACTCCTAATTTACTTGTAAATAAGTGATATAAAAACTGGCAACAATTTGTCAAAATTAAACTTTCTTACAATTAACAGACTAACTTTGAAATCATCAAGTTCACAAACAAAAATAGGTCAAATATTGGAAAACATGTAATGCATCTGTTATATTGCAATTCTCTGGGGGGGGGGGGGGGGAATATCAGTATATCAAAATTGTCCACCAAAAGAAGAGTTGAACCAGCAGCAGAATCAAATTTTTTTACAGAAAAAAAAATTTAACTTTTTTTTTTGGCTGTTTTTTTTTCCTCCAAAATATCCGTGCGTTAAGGGGTTATCTCTGATTACTATTACAAATATTAACTTTCTTAGGATTATTCTGAAATGGTTAAAATGCTCAAATGGTTAAAAGGTCTCTTTTTTTGAATGGGGTATATTAATAAATTGTTAAAAAAGTGCACCTTTCAACGTCTACCTTAGTGAACCTTTTAAGCTGTTTATCAAAAAATCGTGTTTTTAATTAACATTTAAAAAAAATATGCACAAAGATTGTCTCTCAGCAGGCTTCTAATTATCATTTATAAACTACAAATTTTTCTCTTATTTAGATGAGTGAAAATTACTTTTTGAAATACACATATAAAATAGTATATAAGTCAAAAACTTAAAAATTGTTGAGGATCAAATTCAGTTATTACATATTATGATAAAATTTTATGTGGTTAAGTGCCCTTTCAAAATTCAAAGTGTCCTTTCCTGTGAAAAAGCACCTTGCCCTTTTTTATTCTTAGTTAGAACTCTGTATATATATAAATTCAAAATTCACTCTAAGCAATTTTAAAGTTTCTGAGATATAAAAAATTTAACAAACGTCTACAAGACATTATTAACGATTATTCATTTGTCTAAATCAGAGGTCGCCAAAGTGGTCTATATAGACCCCCAGGGGTTTATTTAAAAAAAGTATGGGTCGATCTGAGCCTGGGGGTCGATCCGAATAGGAAGGGTCGA